ACATATTTAATTTTCAGTATAGTTAAAAATTTTAGAAATTTAATGTTGGATTAATTACTGTATTCCTGCAAATCATTCACGCTAAATTTTACATTAATTTGAATATATATGTTTAATTATTTCATTAACATCACAAAATTTTATATTATTAAATGTAAAGTTCCTTTTATTAAATAGTTACAAACATCATCACTTTAAAATTTAATATTTATGATTTACATAAATAAAATTATTATAAACTTGTGTAAAAAAATTTTTGTTCTTAAACATATGTAAAAATGTTATTACTTTTATTATATGCACTCAAATAATGTCTGGGATAGAGTTTAATGTAGAAGAAGTTAAAATCAGGATAGCAAACCATATGAGTATTTGTAATATAAACACAACCATATATAATATAGAGGGTCATATATACAAAAGTTCACGAGAGAAGCTATATGATACAAGAATTAATTATGACAAATCGTAACAATTAAGCACATCCATACATAATTGGTCATAAACATCCACACAGTAGCACAAAATGAGGACATAATAATAACATATCAATGTCATCAAAGTGAAACCACTCACAGTCATAATAATTCTAGCAGCATATTCTTCCGTTTTACTAGTGTTTTTTTTTTTTTTTTTGCAAGTGGGGTTTGTAACTTTGTATCATCTTATCTTGGAGCTATAGTGAACTAATTGCCTCTAGAATTTGACCAGTTGATATTAGAGTGCTACCATTTCAAGTGACATCCAAGTTTGAGGAGCACAGATACCATGTTAATCATTAACCAATTGGGAATTAATACATTACAACAAAATTTAAGACACTCATAAACAATTAATACTTTCCATAAAAAAATACCCATAAACATAACCATATATAATACGGAGTTTCATATTTATAAAAATTCACAAGAAAAGCTATTTGACATATGAATTAATTACAACAAATCTTAACAATTAAGCATAGCCACGATACAACTAGTCATAAAAACCCACACAACAACACAAAATGAGAACATAATAAAAACAGATAACGGTCATCAAAAGTGAAAAACACTCACAGTCGTCTAGAACAAGTTTGTGATTGTCAACTAGACTTCTCTTTTACCTCCGGCATCTAATGATGTACCTGAAAAGGACACTTTCACCTCCGGCGTCTAATCATGTACCTGAAAAGGACAGGGCATCTTTAGTGCCTAGATATTTCATACATTTTTATCAAAAATTAATGTAATGGAGTTTGAAAAGGGGGGAGAAAAAATTAAAAGAAAAATAGATAATTACTTCTTACAATTGACCAGTGGGAGGATTCTGCACTCTCCAAGTTTGGGAGTACTGTTGCTTCTGAACTTGCAGAGATGGATTCATCGCTTGAGAAGTCAACACTGGATTGTGATACTGATGATGAGCGTGCAGAGAAATATTGTGATACTGATGATGAGCGTGCAGAGCAATATTGAGATTCCAAAGAGTAGCTGCGACGGCCCTCTTCTAAGTTCTCAAGATCGTTATCATGATCCTCTGCCTCTTTTATACAATACCATGTATTGGGTAGAGAAAGCAACATAAGTAAGGCACATAAGTTCGTAACTGCCAATGTTTGAAAGTATTTGTCTAAATGGCCATTGTTGACAGTCTCACCAATCCAATTTCTAAAAACCAGAATACATACCACAGCTAACAATCGTCCCATTCCTTCCACAAATCTATTGAATGTGAATTCCAAATGATGCATGGATTGATCTGGTACTTGGTCACGGAAGTATTCTCCCAACATTTCTTTAACCATTTCGTTCATAATTCCTAACAAGATACGCTGTCGAGTGAAGGTGAATAAGCCTTCTGATTTTCTTTTATCCTGAACATGCCGGGCGTCAATGCAGAACAAAGAACAAACCAACATCCCGAAAATAATCTTCGCTAGCCTAATGCGCTGTTGTACTTGTTGGTTTACCTCGCCGCAAAACATTACGATTACAGAATCAATTAAACACGACACTATGATTCCAGAAAATTTCTGTATCATATCCAAAGAAGCTCTATTATCAAAGAAGGCGCTACCTGCCGCATCAACAACATAAAATATAAGGAAAGGTGCCCACAGAGGGAGTAACTTCAGAAGCGGCCTTAATTCATGATTTTCCCCTTCATGATCTCCTGAAGATACCTCATAAAGTTTACTATCATAAAAGACTAATATCCAACCAATTCCCACCCAAAATGCTGAAATAAAGAGCTGTGCACTTGTTGGAAGACTTGGCATCAGCAGCGCGCCCAAAACGGCCCCTGCTAATGCTGCTATAACCAACCAAGCAGTTATAACCCGTTTCGATTGATTAACTGTCGGTTGACCTGCAACTTGTTCTGATTCAGTAACTGTTGGTTGATCTGTAACTTGTTCCGATTGATTAACTGTCGATTGACCTGCAACCTGTTCTGATTGAGTAACTGTTGGTTGATCTGCAACCTGTTTTAATTGAGTAACTGTCGGTTGACCTGCAATCTGTTCTGATTGAGTAACTGTCGGTTGACCTGCAATCTGTTCTGATTGAGTAACTGTTGATTGATCTGTAACCTGTTCTGATTGATTAACTGCCGATTCATCAATGCACAACTCGATCATATATTTTTCTGCTGAAATGTCCATTGATAAGAGTGCCAATGCCGAGAAAAACAAAATCGCCTGATGAAACCGTAGCATCAAAATACCCTAACACAAGAACGATGAACATGTTACAATGACATGTATATTGAAACACTTCTTCGTAACCAAAATTTTAGGAAGTTCCAATTAATTTTAAATTAACACTTATGAATCAATGTGAATAGAATATTTAATTTAATTGTTGATTTTTAAAAATTTATTGTTTTTAAACCTTTAAAAAAAATAAGGTTTTAAGTATTAAAAAAAGTTAAGAGGACAACTACACTAACCTCTTTTTCTGTACATATTAGAATTAAATAGATTTTTAATTACAACTTTTAATAACTTTAAAATATAGTTCTTTTAATTAATTAACCAGAGGGATTATATATATGATTCCAAAAGAAAAATGAACTTACAGCGATGAAAATTGTATGATTGACTAGAATCATTCTGACTGGACGTACGCGTTGATAATGCGTTGCGTATGCTAGGAAACTGGCCAAAAATGCTGAGAAGCAGTCTCGGGCAGTGGAAACCAGTGCTTCATACCAAAGGCTGTCCCATCCCGAATTGTCTCGGATAAATACAATCAAGAAACCTAAAAATGAACATTCGGCCACGGCATTACCAA